TATATATATATAAACTCATTTATTGGGTAAAATAAATAAATAAATTACTTGGTTGCACGATCGATCGTTTAGGAGTGGGGTTGCACTTAATTATATTCTTAAGAAACTGTATTTTGTTCTCTACATAGATTAACATTGGACGTGTCACTATGTGAATTTTGACTTTTTTCTGATCAAGTCACTTCATTCAAGTTTTTTGACAATGGAAATAATGAAAATAAGACATATGGTTGTAAATCTTTATTCAAATTTCAGCATCCTTGTTTCTCTTACACTCAATCTCTCGTATTACTTTGTATTGATAGTTGAATTATCCATCGAAATATCAACTGTCTTCGATCCTTTTTTTTCCGGCTTGGTGATCTCTGTGCTGACAGTTCCTGTTTGGTTAAATACATTTTGTCGGAGACGAGGTCGAAGATTTTTTGACAAAGGAGTTCTATAGAGTTTTTAAGTCAATGTACTTCGTTGTGTTATCTATATTTTTGTTTACGATTTTAAAAACGACAAAGAAAAGTAGAGCGTCTCGTCCTTGCAAAACAATTGCCATCAACAAGGAGGATGCTATTATGTTCGTAAGATATTTATTTGTCTATATAAAGAGAAAAATAGAGAGATACAAAATTTATGATGTATAAAAAGCTAAACGAATGCTGACTATATTATGCCTCTATTTGATGACCATTATTTTGAAAAAAATGATTTTTGAATAGTGATCTTTTGAAGAGTGTGTGGTTAAAATATGATTGAAAAAGAGTATGAAAATTAAAGAATTTTGAAATAATGATCTTTAATTGGGGGTGGAATGTGAAGGCATACTTTTTCTAAATAAATCCATGGATGCATTTGTTCTGCAGATATAAATAGGAAAAACCTTTACAGATATTTCCAGCATGTACCCCATTTTTTTTTTTGAACTACATATTAATTCACCATTCTACATGATCGCGTTTAGTAATATTAGTAAACAACAAATCCTCGTTTGTCAACTTCGGATAAGTTTCAATATAACCGACATATAAAAACTTGGATTACCCTTCTTAATATCATTAATTCGTTGATATAAGTAAGAAGTAATCGTGAATCTAAGAAATTTATAGATAAAAAGTATGAGTAATTCACTTAAATTATAATTTGAAACTTGCATAACATGCACTTAGGACTCAACTAGCCATTGACACACGATGCACTGAATTTAATGTGGCTTCAGGGACATCAATGTCATGCCCGCGCGTTTCCGGTGTGGTGGCACTTGGGGCCCACACTGATTGGTCACCGGCAATGATTCGATTGGCTTTAATGACTACAGCTTATACTCAAGATCTTGAAGGGAATCTATTGCTTGATAAAACATCTTATAATTTGGTAACAATATATGATACTGGTGCCCGGTCCGTGAATCCTGAGAAGACTGTTGATCCAAGACTGGTTTATGATTTAACTCCGAATGATCATATGAATTTTCTATGTGCATCAAATTTTATTCGGCTAAAGTTACAACAGATTGCTAGGAGGTCTGTGAGTTACGGGAAGAATCAATCTAAGCCGTGGAATTTAAATTATCCAGCCATTTAATCGAGCACTCTTCCCTCCTCCAACGAGTCCATATGCTGATAAAAGCAACTCCATTTGATCCATCGTTTACAACTTGCAAATTGACATGTCAAAAGGAGAGCTTTGTAGAAAAGCTTTTCATTGAGTAACTTTGCAACCATTTCAAGTCGAAAAGATAGTTTTGTAAGGAAGTAACCGTTGGCATCGGTTGGATGGCTCAAAATTGAGAACGGTGCCGTTTCATATACATAGTCGTCGTGGGCTAGGCACATTACTCTTGCAATAGCTCGTGCAATAGTTACCGCATCAAAATTAACCCTTCAGATTTAAAATAGATGAGTTGCTTAAATAAAAATATAGATCGAATGATTATTCAATTTAAAACAAAACAACAGATCAAGATGTCATCTTTAGGTGGGTTGAGTTTTGGGGCCCATTTACAGTAAATAATTCCCTGAATGCTAAAACTTGCAGGGAGAAACTCTTTTCCCGGGTTGGGTGACTCCAACTTCGGTTTTGGAGCTCCATATACATACCCGTATCCATTTGCAGAATCAACAACCAATAGAGACAAGAAAAGTAAATAGAATAAATATGCAGAGCGAATTGCGAGAGCCATTTCGAGATGTTTTACAAGATACAACAATGTGCTTAAATATATATAAACACATTTTATTGGGTAAAATAAATAAATATATTGCATATAATAACATTACTTGCTTGCATGATCAATCGTTTAGGAGTGGGATAACAACAGGGGCGGACCCAGGTCCGGAGGTCAGCTAGGGCGGAAGGCAACTGTTGACCGTTGACTCAACGATTGTAATAGCGATGTGCCAAAACAAAGATTTCCAGCTTCATGATAACTACTGCAGGGCAATCTATTCATATAATGTGAAATCTACATTACGATAGAGAATTGTTAGAAGTTAGTAACCTAACTAATGACATTAAGTGGCTGTAAGAAAAGCTTCCATTTAAGTAAGCATCAGGCAGTGTTGAGATTCATATATTTACTAATGATTGTAGATGCTGATTATTTTCTTTGAACCCTAATGATAAATTTGCTGTTGCTTTGCACCAATTCATATATTTACTAATGATTGTAGAAGTTGATTTTTTTCTTTGAACCCTAATGGTAAATTTGATGTTGCGTTGCAACCTCAATTCAACTTCCCATAAATGGAACTGTAAATTGAAAGTCAACTTTAGTCAACTCAGCTAGTCTTTGGCATTCACGTAGACAATGGAAAGATTTCGTAGAACGTTAGCTAATAACTTATAAATTATTGCAATATCAACTGAAAATTTCTTAATTTTCTGAGAAAAAAAATTGTTTGTTCCCTGTAACTTTGGGTATGAAATAAAAGTCAATAATAAAAATATAGCTAAAAATACTTGCAGATGTACAAGAAATCGCTCAAGTTGAAAAAATCGTTCCATAATTTGCAAAATGCCACAATTTATTTTTCAATTAAAATTGATTAAAAACACAGTGTATTGAGCCCAACATCTTCTCTATTAATTTTTTTGACTTATCCCTAATTTGAAATTTCCTTAACCTAAATTCCCAAATCACAAATCAAAACTCAAGAATGATAAATTATAACTAATAAGTCATAACTCATACAACATGTTGAGAAAACGAAAATCTGCAGAGATACTAGTAGAAAATGAACCAGCGCACATCAGTAGAAAAACGAATTGAACCAGCACACATCAGAAAATAAGAACCAGCAGAAGAAATTAAAATCAGCTACTGAAATTCAATATGAACGAAGCTAAATGGAACTGTAGGGAATACAAAAACTAAAAGATAAATTCAACAAGTAAAACCATATTGAAGGAACCGATGAAAGGGGAATTTATTAATTCATCTAGCTCGATTGATAATGGAATTACATTTCCCTATTTATAGACTAAATTCCTAACAAACTAACAAACTAATGAAGAATATAGAATAAGTTGCATGTGCTGCCCGTGTGAACTCATGCTGGTGACTGGTGACTGGTGAGCTGGAGATTAGAAGAATCTGGAAGGAGCTATAAGCATGCTGCTGATGAGCTGGTGAAGGAGCTGGAACATGTTCCGTGTTCTGGTGAACATGCTGGGAATGTGAATATAATTCATATATTTCAACAACATAAATCATAAATCACAATTCTTTTTTCTTTGTCACAGAACAACAACTAAAAACAAAAAATTACAAAAACAAGATTCGAGAAGTAAAAAGGCGTTCAGTCGCTCACCAGTCAAAGCCGTTGGACAGGAGGAGGAGAGGTGGAGAAATGGAGACATCGGCCGGCAGCCGCAACACTGCAGCTTCTCCACGTCTCTGGCTCTCTTAGAGACTCACGTTTACCTCTTCAATCTTCACTTGCTGCTGGAGCAGACTGAGGAAAATTAGAAATGGTTATATTACACTTATATACATTATACATATATATTATATATATCCATCATCCATGGATTTCGGGCCTTTGCTTTGGCCTTTGGGCCTATTTTTTTTTTAAAGCCAAGCCCAAAACGATGGCTAAACTTAAAAAAAAAAAAAAAAAATTAGGCCCAAACCCAAAACTTGAGATCATCTTCGTCTTCACCAGTTCGCCCTTCAGCTTCTGGTTTCCATTCTGCAATTGCCAACTGGGCGGCACCCGACGGTCTGATGGCTCTGTCGGATCCAGCACGGGAGGCCAAAGGGCTCGTCGGTGCTGGGTCTGCCCTTGGGTAGCAATCAATTTGATTATGAAGAAATTGTATTTTGTTCTCTATGATTAACATGTAAATGGACATGTCATTACGTGCATTTAGACTTTTTATAATCGTAAAAGTCGTCGTAGAATATTATATATATAGTATCGAAAAATGTTGTGTGAACTCAAAATTTTAGTCACTGGTAAGCTAATAAATGACTAACTTCTTTAATAATGTGTTTGTTATTTTAATGATATTTTTTTCTTCGCGAAGTCGAGATCCGTTCTGCAAGTTGTTGTACATCATTTAACTTTGTCACGGTCAAGTATAGTGAAATTTGATTTATTTATTTTTTTCTGATAAGAATATGTCAAAAATAGTGAACATCTCATGAACTTGACTCTGGTTGAGAGAGTTTTTATAATTTTATCAAGTCCAATATAAGGATCAAAAGCTGAATTTCTATTTGGATCTCAATCTAGGAGTGCCTAGACCTAGATAAAGAAATATATAAAATATACATAAAAATAACAATTAAAATGATCAATGGAAATATGACATAAGGAGTCCTCAAAAGGATCTTCTCCTATAAATCTCTAGTCGAATCTCTGCATGCTCGTCTCTACGATACCCAATTTCTTGTATTACTTTGTATTGATAGCTGACTTTACCGTCGAAGTAGGAACGGTCTTAGATCTTTATTTTTTTTGACTTGGTGATCTTAACGCTAATTAACAGTTCTCGTATAGTAACATCAGACACGTTCTCTTACTCAAGGTGGGAAGTCTTATTTTATCCACTTGGAGAGAACCTAACGTTAGGTTCTCACATTTAGAGAGAACCCAACGTTGGGTTCTCCTGCCATATCAGCAGGTGGACAGTCTTATTCTGCTCATCGTGAGCAGGAGAACAATTCCAATAGTAACATACATGTTGTTAGAGATATAGTTGAAGATTTATTGAGAATGGAGCCCTAGAAGGTTTTGAGGTCAACGTACTTTCATACTGTGTTTTATATATTCTACTATAACCAGTTAAAGAAATGACGAGATTTAAAATACGTATGACTAGGGGCGGGGCCAAGGGAAACAAAAAAAATAAAAAAATAAAATCTTATCTTACTGGGCTAATACATAGGATGAGTTTTTTTAAAGTTAAGAGAAAATGTTGCTAAAATTTTAAATTCCATTAGAGAAAAGGGAAAAGAAAAGAAAAGTACAAGTAACGCGTTTATGACATCATTATCCATTTTTTTTAACTTTAACGGTATGATTTATTACACTTATATTGTAATGTGTATCATTAAATGGTAGATTTAATTAGATGACTTATTTAATTAAGAAAAATGTTATTCATCCCATTGGGGATGCATCCCTAGTCTATGTGGCGTTAATGTGGCATTAAATGATAGGTGAAATTAAATAAGTCATTTAATTTCACCTATTATTTAACCAATCATTTACATCTACATAGACTGGGGATGCATCCCTACTAGGGATGAATAGCATTTTTCTTTAATTAATTCTATCATTTAGTAACACATAATGTCATCTAAATCGGAACACAATTAATGTAAAATAGCATTACCTTTTTTGAAGTAAATTTCATTGAGCATTGAAGAAAATCCACGAAAATCATAGGAATGCCCATTCATGCAAAAGAACACATTTAGAACTTCATTATTCGTTTTTTTCACTTTAAATTCAAAAAGGAAAAAGCCACACATTTCATCATGACATATTTAATTTTAATGATTTAATGCTATCATTTAGTAACAAAAATTGTCACCCAAATCGGTTCTATAATACAACTAATAATGTTGAATAGTATTAGTCTTTTTGAAATAAATTTCATTAAGCATAGAAGAAAATCCACACAAAATAGTGGGATGCCTATGCAAAGAAGAGTAATGCTATTTACAAAAATGCTATTTTATCTTTTTTCTTCCTTATTTATGTTTTAGGTGGACTTTCTTCTATAAATGCCCAATGAAATTTACACAAAAAATTATCTTTTCTTTCTTTATCTCCTCAAATCCATCATGGCGAAATGCTTTGCTCTGGTTTTTTTCATAGCTTTTTCTCAATTTTTACTCATTTCTTCTGACACTGAGTTTGATAAAACTCGAACTT